GAGAAACAAATAGCAATGAGATAGTTTCAAAACTGATTATAGAAGTTTCAATAATTAATACATTGCATATTGTTGTCTTCTTAGTGGTCAAAGTACTTCTTAATTTCTTAAAGCTGTCTCAACTGTAGGAAATACTAAAAGCCTAATCAAGATTTCTACTGACAGAGGGATGTGAACTTAATAGCTTGCTGAGTGCTGGAATTAATTACCAAAGCCATTTAGGCAGCACTGTGATGACAGACTAGAGCCCTGGGGCCTGGGCCGGCGGGCTCTGCTCCTTGGGGACTGGCTGAGCTCAGGCAGAGCAGACCCATATCTCTGCAGACTGAGAGCCCACAGCTGCTCCTGATGGTCTTTCCCAACTATCAGATGAGACTTAGTGTGAGATTTTGTAGTCAAGTGAAGCAGTGGCCCAAGGTCTGTCCTGGTTTTGCCTGACTTGCCTGTGGCCATAACATACCCAAGTTCTGGGCTTCAGTTTCCCCATCTGTATAGGAATGGTCTAAGGATTCTTTCATCTCCACACTAATGACAACACAAGGCAGAAAGCCTCTTATTCTTCCCTGAACTCAGGAGAGCCGTGCCGGGGGCTGGAGGCAAAGGAAGCCCTATGCAGGGCAGTGCTGGTGCACAGCATGGCTCTAGTGTGTTCCATCCTCTCAAGCTCTACGTGAAAGTGAGGGAATTTTACTTCAGTGAACCACCAGTGCCTGCTGGTGGGAATACTGGGCTCAACCAAACCTTAGCCAGCGCATCAAGAAGGCCACAGTGCCAGGGAGACAGTACTGCTCCAGGTATGTTAGATAAAGGGATTAAGGGCTTTGTGAGGTAGGATTATGAAAACCTGTCTTTCCCGTTTGTCCACTGAGACTTTTTTAAGTTTTAAAATGTATTTAACAACTTGAATGAGAAGCATTTCAAAGACTAAGCTTCCTGACTCAAAACAGGCAATTTAAAACAGTACTAGCCCGGGTGTGGTGGAGCATGTCTATAATCCCAGCACTTGAGAGGCTGAGGCAAGAGGATTGCTGTGTTTGAGGCCACTCTGAACTCCATAGCAAAACTGTCTCTAAAATTAATAAATAAACAAATAAATAAAATAAATAAAACATTGTTCAACAGCTTATCAGCTTAGCTTCTGCTCTGAGCGGCTGCTGGCTCACTGCACTTCTGACTGGGCCTCACTGCCTCACAGCCTTTCCCCGGGGCTCAGGGAATGCATCTGAAGTGCCTCACAGTCAGCACCCATCTCCACACCCAGTGAGAAGATTCTCCTTCCCACCCTGCTAGCAGTTGACAATGGGGCAATCAGCTCACAGAACTCAGATGGAGCACGGGTGGTTTCTTCCTTGCTTAGAGAATAAACATTGAGAGTCAAATCAGTGAAAGGCAGCCAGGCTCTAAAATTAAGCACTGCTAAAAGGTTAACAGGCTGAGAGTGGTGGTACACACCTGTGATCCCAGCACTATGGAAGACAGGCAGAAGGATCTCAAGTTTGATGTCAACCTGAGCAATTTATTTTATTTTATTTTTTTTAATTGAGAAATAAATATAAATGAGACAGTTTCACAGCTGATTAATAGGACATTTTTGATAGTCAATACACTGTACATTGTTATCTTCTTAGTGGTTATCCATACTACAAGAAGCAGACAGGATATTCTGTCCAAACACTGTTAGTACACCTCTTTCTTCTCATTGAGTTAAGTGAAAGTAGCTGTAAATTTATCCTATTTCGTATATATAAATACCAAATGATCTTTCCTTTGTATCTTTTTTTTTTTAATTTTAATTTTTTTTTGTCCTGTCAGAGGTGAATATTCTACTGGCATCTAAATACTATAGGTGTTTGAATTCAACTAAACAATCTAACACTGTCTAGCAGTCTATAATATTAGTGGGTTATCCTCAGAAGTTAATCATTTGAGCCTTCCACAGCTCATCATATTAATATGGATTTACTTTATATACCTCGTTTTTATACTTTTCTGCTGGATGGTTAAGACCAAGATATAGCAAGACCTGTATACCCAGAAATGTAACCTTTGTATCTGATAAGGTCAGCCAAGTACTCTCAGGATTTATCCTGTAGCCCTGTACCACCTTCTGTACATCCTTTTGTCAGTGTCTGACATGAGGATGAGTCATGGCCATTGCTTGACCAATTTGAACCTAAGCAATTTAGCAAGATCCTGTCACAAAGCACAACACAACATAACAAAAGGCACTTTATGTGGCCCCGAATACAAGTAACAATATACTTGGCAAATATTGCTTTTTTAAGGTCTAGCAGAAATGATTCCTTTTTCTTTCTCAACCAAAACTCTGCTTTTCTGGCCTCTGATAGTCTCTTACCTAGCTTGGTTGTTTATGTATACAAAGGAGATTTATAAGCTTCCTGAAAGCAAGAATCACACTTCATCTCTGTACACCCTCTAGCTTAGTTCAGGATTCTCAAATAATAGATTCTGAACAAATATATTTGGGTGGGGAGTTGTTATTCAATGGGTACATTTAGAATGATGAAACAGTTTTGAAAATAGTGATAGGTGATTGCACAATACTACGAATACATAATGCTGTTGAACTGTGCATCTAAGGATGCTTAATTTTGTATTACATATAAACAAATATTTATTTAATACTTGTAGGTAGCTCACTCCAGAAAGAGGGCTTCAAGTGGAAATAACAAATCTCTAAGAAAAGACCCTCCTTGGATATCTTCCAGGACTAGAAAGTGCACAATACATATTAGCTATATAAACCAACAGAGCATGATCTATGAAGAATGTCAAATTTAGACAAAACTAGCAAGCTGATAATAGTATATTGTGTATAAACTAGGCATAGACATAAATATCTTTTGTTAAGGACCAAGGAAGACCTTACAAAGATTTTATATTAATTTTCAATAAAAATATATATTTCTATCTTAATACAAAGTCAGCAGTGATAGCAATTATCACAGAAGAGATCAATAGATTTCAGTCTCAAGGCTTCAAGTTCCAGGTCACAGCTACCTCGATTCTGATTCCCTCTGCTGGGGCATTCCAAGGGGTAGCTTGGTTTATCTATCCATCTCACCAAGGCTAGGCCTCTCCTGCCATTCTCTAAAATCCAGATCTCCTGATCTCCAGGTTTCCTGATCTGTGGCTCATAATACTTTAGTCATTTACAAAAGCATCTGGAAATGAGATATTTTTAGTCAGAGACAAAAAAATTACTTTATAAGATGTAGTAAGCCCTGGTATTGACCACTAAAAAGATCTTCAAGTGTAAAACTGAGTAATCTCGTCTCTCTCAAAAATAGAAACTTAGGGCCAGCCAGATAGCTCAGAGGATTAAAGTACCTGTTTAAGCAGGCACAGGGACTGGGGTTCAATCCCCTGCATGCGTGTTGGCACTGTCCCTGGGGCACGCTAAGACAGCGATTGAGACTGGGCATTGTGGCACCAACCTGTAATCCCAGCTCTTGGGAGGCTGAAAACAGGAGGATCACTATGAGTCCCATCTGTGTAGTGAGACCCTAGAGACCCTGTACTAAAAGCACATTAAAATGTAAAAAAAAAAAACCAAACCTCAAAATTTTAAGGCTCAAAGAAAAAAATATACTAAATATAGCATACCTGACCCAACAGCCACAGGAGCTAAAAAACCTGCTGTTTCCATTATACAGAATGTGAGACTCTTAAGACTTCACTACCAAATTATTATTATTATTATTATTATTGTTATTATTATTATTTTTTTTTTTTTGGTGGTACCGGGGATTGAACTCAGGACCTTGTGCCTGCCAGGCAAGCACTTATTCTACTAAGCTATCTCCCTGGCCCCGAAGGACACATTTGTTTGTTTATTTATTTATTTATTTATTTATTTGCAGTATTGGGGACTGAACTCGGGACCTTGCACTTACAAGGGAGGCACTTATGCTGCTGAGCTATCCCTCCAGCTTCACTATCAAATTAAAACAAAAGCAGACAATGCAGGGCTTCCTACACAGCACTCAGCCCACACAGGGAGACAGACAGACAAGACATTGCTTGCTCCATTCTGCTGAGTCCTAGGCCTCTACAGAGGTCCCCACAGAGGTCTCCTAAGTGCTGCGCTTCAGGTCTGGGTCATTCTGTCCTGGAGACCCATGTTCTTTAGGTTCGATATCACAGTCTGAAGCAGTAGTCTGGCTTTTTGTGGTACTGACAGCATCTGAGGCTAGTCTTCTTTTCTTCAGCTGGTGTAAGTGGGATTTGGATTTTACATGTGCTTAAGAAGACAAAAGAAAAAGCTCATTAGGATTTTTAAAAATTAATCCTAAAAGCAATTAAGTTTACACAATCTGTTTCTTTAATAATAAGTAACATGGGCCGGGTGTGGTGGTGCATGCCTGTAATCCCAGCACTTGGGAGCCTGAGGCAGGAGGATTGTTGGGAGTTTGAGACCAGCCTGTATTACAAAGTTCAAAACCAGCCTGCACTGCATAGTGAGATCCTGTCTCAAAAAGATAAAAAGAAAAAAAAAAAAAAAACAACAAAAAACAGGATCAACATGTACCTTGCTATAGCTGCTTAGCATTTTTAAGGAAAGAGTAAGTTATAGCCAGCTTGCTTAGAAAGCTAGAGAGAAAATATGGTGCATCAAATGAACAACAATCTTGCAGGCCAATCCATTCTGAGCACTGGACACAGAGGGAAACTCAAGTTCAGAGAAGTCCTACACTTTGTCGAAGGGAAAACAGCAGGTGAACTCTTCCGCTTAGACCTGTAACTACAAAAAGAGATCCTACTTTCCCGAATCAGGCCTCTATAATCAGGCCTCTCAGACTTCCTACTGCAGAACCATTTCACCTCAAGGCTAAAATGCTAGAAATTCAAACTCTCACCTGTGCTTCACCACGTAAGTGTGAAGGCCAGAGCCGCCTCTCTGCTTCCTGCCCTGCTTCTCTTGCTCCCACACGCCTGGGCTGCGTCACATCAGCATCTGACGGGCTAACCCACAAGACTCCCATTCTGCTGCACACTGCTCCACAGAGGGCAAGAGGCGTGGCCTCTGCCACCTCTTCTGAGGGTCCAGCAGAAAAGCTGAGTGGCCACTGCTGCTCTCTACCAACTGCTCACCTCAGCCCAGGAGAGTTCCCACCTCTGACTCACTCACACAGGCTTTTTTACTACCCTGCTCTTTTGCAAGGAAATCTCATCTGGGAACACGAAAAGAGAGGAAAAACTAGATTAACTTCTTTTATACATATGAAAAACATCATTCTTATGGTTTAGAAGCAAGTATAAGTAAGGAGGAGGCTAGAAATCAAAGAACAGTGTTGTGGTGAGAAAAGTCAGCTTTGTTTTCCAGCTAGAGCCTAAGGCAAAAGCTGGGCCCTGGCCTGGCTCTCCATGGCAGCAGGAGATGGGAGCACAGACTTGACAGATGGCACTAGAGAAGGGCTCACACAGCTAAGCTCACAAAAGCTCACAAATGTTGTTTCTCTAAGGCTCTCTCTGAAGACATTCGACAAATCGAACCACTAAGTTTCCTTTACAAAACAGTCAGACACTTTTTCTCGTCCCTTTTCATCGTTATAAACCAACGACAATCGAGGCTTCTTCTGCTGGATGGGCAATCACAGCCGTCCTCAGACTCTTGACAATGGAGTTCATTTTGCCAGTTACCAGTTAATAGACCTAATCATTCTATTGGTTGATATGGCAAGAGAATGTACTTCACTGAGAATCCAAGCAAAGCAAGATTCTGAAACAGAAAGAGTCCAGCCAAGGATAAGCCATGAGCCCCACTCCCATTTCAGCAAATTACCTTGAGAAATGCTTGACCCTGCTTCTGAAGAAAATGCTCTGGAGGAAGAACTGTACTTCCTACTCCCTCCTAGCTCTGCTTCTACTTCTATCTCTTGCATGAGCTGCCTTGATTCCTTTACAATCCTATCGCATGTTAAATTCTAAACATTAAAGCTTCCAAAGTTCCTCTTAGGCAGGATTATGAAGGCAAAGGAGCTCTAGACAGTTAACTGCAGACCTCTTGGTATAAAATATCCATTACAGCTGGAGCTGGAGGGCATATGATCTTCCTCTGCATTTCAGAATACAGAGACATCTCCCATTTCCTTGGGAAAGCCTCCAAGGAATATGAGCACAGGCTCAGGAATTAGGCTGTCCCTTTACAAACAAGCAGACCCCAGTGTTCATTCTATCAGAGACCTCAAGTTTCAACAAGTTATTGTGACCCCATCCTTACAGGTTTCTCCCCACACTCTACCTGCCCATTCTCGGTCCCCAATGATGATGCGATCACAGAGGTCACACACATGGTAACTTCGCTTGTTCTCAGTCTCATTGTATGGTATCCTTACTGGAGTTGCTGCAGGCTCGTGGCCCTAAAAGGAAAAGGTGGGGCACCACAGCACTCTATTAAAAGAAACTGTATAATTCTTTGGTATTAGGAGGAGGTGAGATTTCCCCAAAATTCTCCTTTTACATCCCAGGGAGCAGGTGTGCAGTGAACAGATTTTAGTAACGACTTTTGTAAAGGTGAAAGTAGAAATACAGCTTCCAGGGATTAAAAACAAAACAAAACAGCCAATTCCTCTTCATGGCGAAGAACACAGTTCCCTAATAGTAACGAAAGTATGCATCAGTGAGGGAAAGTCTCTAAACGCCAGATAATGAACTGTACCAGGATTAATAATCACCTCGATGAAACTTTGCACGATATCAAGGGCAGGTTCAAAAACAGAGTCTTCCCACTTCGAGATGTCAGACACCTCCAAGCCATATACTGGAGGGGCCCTCGGACCGGGTCCTGTTGACAACAAAAAGAACAACTGCATCAGGTTAGCCTCCAAGACTCAATGAGGTCCATTCACAGGACTGTAAAACCCTCATGGCCAACGGAATAAACATGTTGACCATTCTATTCATTCTACCATAAACATGAACCACGGCACAAGACCTAAGAGGGTGAAATCTGTAGCCAGTAACCCTGGCCAGATAAGCACAGACTAAGATGTACAATCTGTCAGGTCAGGAACCTAAAATGGAATAATAGTAAAACAGTAATAGAAAAATAGTAAAATGGAGTAATATTTCTGGCAACCTTTATGCAAGCTAAAACATAAAGACAGTATATCACAGAAAGAAAAACAAAACTAACAGCTTTAAGGGCCTGCTATGTCATCTTACTGGTATGGGCACTCTTCAGGAGTCTTTAGGAGTAGACACTAGTTTCAAGTTTAGATACATCCCTCCAAAAGAAAGTGTTTCTGCAACTCCATGACAGTACACTGATAGCCACGGGCTGAGAATAATAATATCAGACAATAAGCTGCTGAGTCTGAGATCTAGAAGGAAATCATACAATTGACCTAGCTAAATCCCTTCTTTAAGAACCACATCTAGCTGGGTATGAAGGCACATGCCTATAATCCCAGCACCCAAGAGGCTGAGGCAGGAGGATTACCATAAGTTTGAGGTCAGCCTGGGCTTCACTGCAAATTCAAGGCCAGGCTGGGTACTGAGAGAAAACTTTTTTTAAAAAAATAAGTAAAACCAAAGTCAGATCTAGAGAAGTATGCAAACATCCTGGGATAATACTTATGAAGATACAGACATTTCACCCAGCTGATCCAACCATATTATAAGAGTTTAGTCTCTGGGGTAACTTCCTCAGTCTACAAACACAGTAAATTACCTTCCATAGCTAGGTCCACAGCTAGGTAAGCCAGACGCCTAAGGCAAAGAGCATTGCTCTATGGACAAAAACATCAAAGGCATCAGGATGCCAACGGCTGGCAGGTGCTGGCCTTTTGATTGTGCCAACCACAAATAAGACTCTTCATAAACTGGACTAGGCTACACCTGCCACCACACGGAAAGGTGAGACTGGGAGGGTGCAAACGGCACCCACAGCACACCTGGCCTTGGCTAAGCTCTGCACCTGTTTCCAGGCACTCTACATTTTCCTTTCTCCTCTAAGTCCTTTGTTGGGACTTCTGTGCCCTGTCTAAGCACCTTTCAACAAGTTCTCGGCTCCCAGCTGCTATTCCTGGCTTGGGTCCAAGGCCAAGCTGGGGTGGGGAAGTCCCTCTGGCTCCCTGCCAGAACCATATCCCAGCAGACCAGCCTTGGCCAATCACACATGGCTCCTGACTTATGGGACAGCTGTGCCTTTCTCTCTAGTGCCAGGACTTTGCCAGCACACACTAAGGAGGAACAGGCATATGACACCGTGCCATCATATGTCTGCCTCAGATGGGAGAGTTACTGTGGCTTTACCACAGGAAAAAGTTCCAAGTTGTTATCAAAAAGACCTTTGTTACAGACGTATTGTTCAACTTGGGAAGAAAGACTGCAATTGAAATTTGTAGTACTGAATCCCTACTCCAGCTGACACCAAGCACTCCCGTCAATCTATCGGGACACACAGGCAAAGAAGGACAAGCAGAAGAAAGTGGTGCAACAGCCAACAATGTAGATCAAGATGGGCATGTGCAGAGGCCCTGAGGAGCAGAAGTGGAAGCTTGAGCTGGCCTCCCACACAATGAAAAGCTGAAGTTTGTAGGCAATACCTCACACAGCATGACCCTGAGGCTTACTTTTACTTACTTACTTATTTATTTATTTATTGAAACAGGTCTTACTATGAGTTCTGACTGGTCCTGAACTCATTTTGTAGCCCAGGTTGACCTTGATGAACTCTCAGCAATCCTTCTGCCTCAGCCTCCTGAGTGCTAGGATTACAAGCATGCACCACCACAGTACTGAAGCATATTTAAATTGTCCACAAATAAACCTGAGGTTGGACATGAAGGCACACAGCTGTAATCCCAGCACTCAGGAGTATTGCTGAGTTTGAGGCCAACCTGGGCTACATAAGCAACATAAGCAAGTTCAAGACCAGCCTGCACTACATGGTGAGACCCTAGCCCCTCAAAAAGACAAACCTATAGTTTCACTTAGGTGTAAACTCTTTAGCTCAAGTATATAATATCTGGAGGCCCAAAACTGATGTTGTCTATCTAAAAGTATAAACTGAAAGCACTAAGAACAGTATAGATATTGGAGGAAGCCTGCATTCAATCTCTACCACCTACTAGCTGGGAAGCCTGGGACAAGTTATTTAATTTCAGCAAGACTTTATTTTCTTATCTGTAGAAAGAAATGAAAAAACCCTACAATTTGAGGCTCAATGATATAAGTACAGCACCAAATTCAGAGCCAAATACACATAGTACATTGTCAGTGAGAATTTGCCTTTTCCCTTAAAAGTTCTGTTTATAGTTTAATCGAAGCAATTAAGGTACCATGTACCTCAACACAAGGAAGAGCTGGAAGAAGTGGTGAAGTCTTTATTTTTTTACATTAATCATATGGCCCAAGAACCATTTTAATTAAGAAACTCCCTACAGAATTCCAATTGAGTTTTGTTTGTTTGTTTGTGACAATACTGGGGACTGAATGCAAGGCCTTCACACTAAACTACATTCCCAACCCTTTCTAAATATTTATTTGCTTATAGATAGGTCTTGCTAAGTCACTAAGCTGCCCAGGCTGGGCTTGTACAATCCTCCTGCCTCAGACTCTTGGGGTGCTAGGATCACAGACATGTGCCACCACACATAACTCTGCTTTCAATACATACTGAAGCTACAAACCAGCCTTAAATAGCAACTCAGCTAAGATGTTGCTCTGCTCTTACCTGTCTGTCGTCAGTACTACATATTAAAGGAATAATGAAGATTTCTCATTATTTTTCCTGATCTCTCACAAGAAATCTCTCTGAACAATCATTTATGCCATAGACCTTCCCGCAGGTCAGGTCCTGGATCTCAGAACAAACACTAAACTGTTAGTTCAAAACCTAAAGTTCATTTCCTGAGTGAGCTGAGGGCATCTATGCTCTATTATAAACAGGTCCAGGGGATAAGGAAAATCAGGAGACTTACTGCTCAGGAAACGGTTTTTAACCCATCGGTTTTGCTTCCGAGCATATCTCTTAGTTACTTGTTTCAGAGCTTCGATACCTGAAAAATATGGTAAGCAGAGGAACATCTAGGTAAGCACTTCTTTCACCACCGAGACTCAGGCCCTCCCAGCCCGGAAGAAGAGAAAATCAGTATAATGCTAGATTTGGTGGATGACAATCTCAATTCCGAGCTAAAGGCTATTTGGGGCTCTATTAGCCTTAGCTCATGCTGTGAACATACCAGCAGTGTACTCTGTCACCCAAGAATGTGATGTCCAAGACTAGGTTAGAGAAATTCACACCTTTCTTTAGAAGCTGGGTACTAGTCTCTGGTGTGCATTTTCCCTCAGTGATCAGGTACTCGTGAAATTCCTTGAAGCCAATTGACTGGAAGATACCATGTTGATAGTCCTGGCTGGGAACAGGAGAGCATCAGCAGATGAGCCATTGCCTCTGACAGCTTGCAGGAGCCATGATCCTGCGGAGCCACTTCAGTGTAGAGATGAGGAAACTGGGATCCTGAGTAATTACATCTGTGAAACTGCTCCCTACTCTCCCACCAACTCCTGGGAATGTCTGAAAGACTAGTAAATACCAACTGTACCAAACATACATATTAAACCTCCTTCCAACAAATCTTGCCAAAGACAAGGACAAAGCTAAAGCAGATGTAAAGCCATTACTATATTATATATCTTCTGCCTTTCAATCATAGATAAGGGATGGAGAAGAAATCAGAGTAATAGCTAAAACCTCACCTATTTTCTGAAGAGTTCCTCTGATTATAGCGTCTGTGAAAATCTCTTAGTTCTTCCAAGAGCCCAGCAGCAAGCATGTCATCCACTCTCTTATCCAAGCGCTCATCTAAAACTTGAATCAAATCAGCCCATGAACCAGCAACAACATATCACAAGCACCTACTGCATACTTACATGGTGAATGAACTGGCTGCCTCGAATAGAATTTGTTCAAACAGAAGAAAGGACTCCATGTCAAAGATTATATAATGACTCATATTTATTCAAATGTCAAGACTCTGCAATTCTTAAGTACAAACAGCTAGAACAAAGGACAACCTTTCTTATTACATAAAAGTGAAAATAAAATTATGGCTAGTATGAAAGATAAATATTTATCCTCATATGGAATGTATACTCATTGGTTTTTAAGAGGTGGCTGAGGGTTTGTTGGTTTACCTTTCTTAACTTTTGCTATCACATTTATTACTCTAACTTTGTGTTATTTTCCATTTAAGGACCCCAGATGGCACCCTGGAGAGAAATAAGGAATTTGAATCCAAAGCCATCCTATGTGTAACTTTTTTAAAAATTATTTTTTATTTTTCATTTTTTTGAGACAGGGTTTCACTTTGTAGCCTCAAACTTGTGGCAATTCTCTTGGCTCAGTCTCCCAAGGGCTGGAATTACATATATCACACTTGGCTAGTAACTATTTTTCTTCCTAAAACATTCATTTATTGAGGACTTACCACATGCCAAGCACATCCTGAGTACTACATACACAATTATTGACATGCAGAGGGCCCTTTGCATGTCAGTCAAGTGCTCGACCACTCAGCTGTACCCTCAGCTCCACAATTTTGTATGTGTTATTTCATCTGATCCTTAATGACACTATGCAATGCATTCTATTATTATCTCCATCTGACAGTTGGGTTACAGAAAGGTAAACTAAGATACTGGAGTAAGGTCTAGGGAGGTAGCTCAGCAGCACAGTGCCTACCTGGCAAGTGTGAGGTTATGAGTTCAATTCCCAGTATCAAAAAAAAATCTTTAAAAGATACTGGAGTAAGAATCTGAAATGAGACAGTGTGCCTCAGAGACTGATGTTATTACATGAGCTTGCCTTCCACAAAGTCATCTCTGCAAATTGGCTACTAACCCCCTCCAGAGAGGTCCCGGAGCCCTTTCAAATACATCCTGAGCCCGGTATTTGTCACAGAGCAGTGTCCAACACCCTGTCTTCATCCTACTAACCATCATGTCCTTAAACACAGGCATCTCCTATTCATTTCTAAAACTCAGGAGCTACACTGACTGCTCAGTACTTCCTTGAATGCTTATTGAATGTCTGCTGGATGAATAAGCTTTACTGTCCCAGCATTAGTTGACTGCAGGGACAAAAATACCACTAATCCTCACCACCATCCCCCCAGCCTGTTGCTTCTAGCATAATCAAAGACCCAGACTCCAGCCACGCCAGAAGTCAGAGTCCTCCCACTGGAACCCATCCTCTTTCTCCTCCGGTCATTCCCTGAACAGCAATGTCCTTCCTGTCCCACCCATCCTGTGCTACCCCACCCCTGATGTCTCATCCTAGTACCTAGTACCCTACTTTCCTTTCCAGACACACATCAGGAGAGTGGCACTGCATCCAAGTTAGTGAATAATGGCAATAATAAATTTAATAGCTAACCCTACTTTAGTGTTCACTAAGAACCTCCCATGGATCAAAACATTTTATACACAGTAACTCACTGTTCTAACTTCTACTGAAGATGGATTCTGGGACACTGAAGGATTTGTACCTGTCTGGTCAGCATGCAGCCAGAGGATGCAAGGATTGGGAAACTTCAGAGGGCCACCAAGTGGACTGCCACCTTCCTCTGAATGTTGACGATGAAGAAATTCACTGTGAGAGACTCCAGTTTCTTCAAACACTTGTAAGCTCCTAAGGTGTTTTAAAAGGGATGAGGAACCCATGCAGATCATTAAGAAATATTCATTCTCAAGCAAGATGAGAAGACAAGCTGTACATTACAGTACAGAAAGTCTCTTTTTCATTTTCACTGAGTAAGTAAGTGCTCTCTGCCCCCTCAAAAGGCATAGGGCTACTTCAAAGTCTGAGTCACTTTCTGGGTAAAGTGAAAAAAAAAAATACTATTTGAAAGATAATTCTAATGTCAGTTAAATACGTTCAGAAACAAGTTTCTTCTACACAAATAGAATGGAACTCACATACGCACTTTCAAGTAGCAGTAAAAGAACTTGTTTGGAACACTTTGTACAAGCCTACAAGTCTGGTCTCGCTGGAATGCCTTTCCCACAGTACAAAGGTATGTTGTACATCCAGCTCACCGGCTTTCATTTCAAATATGACTGAAATTAATCAAGAATGTTTCTGGCCAATCCAGTACTCTACCTGCACAAAGATCACTGAGTAAAGAACTTATATACAAGGTATAATAAAAAAAAAAATACAGTGAACACTCCAATTTTTGAAAAAAAATTTTACAGTAAAGACACACTGCCAATAATCCCTCTTAAAATACACTTTCTTGCTTCAAACACACTTATCCTATCATGCTGAAGCAGTTCCAGAAGTCTCCTTTTATGGTATCTTTAATTGCTCTGTCATAGATGCCTCAATGTTCTAAATCAATTCAAAACACGCACCTCTCATGGTCATTCTGGCTTTGGGGGACAGCCAGCAACTGCCTGGTACCTAGTGCACGAGGTGGACAAGGACGTACCGCCACATTTTACCCACTCGCCCTTCCACTGAGTGGGACTCAGTAACGCTGTTCACTGTTTCCGAGCAAACCATGTAGATATAAAAAGAGAACTTCCAGGGCTCCTCCAGAAAGTGGGAAGAAAAGCCAGGCGTGGTGGTACGACGTAACCCTAGCACTCAGAAGTCTAAGGCAGGAGGATCATTGCAAGTTCAAGACCAACCTGAACTACAAAGTAAGCTCAAGGCCAACCTGAACTGCACTGTGAGACCATGTCTCAAAAAGACAAAAATAAATAAATAAAATTTGTTGTTACTTATTGGTTTTTTCTCTTTTTTTTTTTTTTTGACGGAACCGGGATTGAACTCAGGCCCTTGCACTTGCCAGGGAAGCGCTTATTCCACTGAGCCATCTCCCCGGCCCCACTTATTGGTTTTTTAAGAAAGGGTCTCACTATGTAGCTAAGGTTGGTCTTGAACTTACTACGTAGCCCAGGCTGGCCTTGAACTCATGACGCTCCCTCTGTCTTAGCCTCTCAACTGCACTACCACACCTGGCTATTTTTGAGGTAAGTTCTCACTAAATTTTCTAGACTGGGCTCAAATTTGCAATCTTCTTGCTTCAGCTTCCCAGAGTGTTGGAATTATAGGCATGTGCTACTACACCTCGCTTTACATACTTACCCTTATACTGTCATCTACTTCTGTATGTATGTACCACTTGGTAAGTGAATTCCCAAATCTATATTCTACCACTGTGGTTGACTGTAATTTATCAGCTTGAAAAATAATCTTTCCCCTCTGGCATCAATTCTACATCCTGACATTCTAATGTAAAAACAAATACCCCTTGCCCTTCATTATCAATGGTCATTTTAAAAAGATCTATGGGAAAAAATGTAACAAATATCTCACCTATCTGGAGGTTAGAATATAGACTCAACCCAAAGAAAGATTTTTTAAAAATCTCTCTAATCATCTCAAGAAACTCTAGAGCTTGAAAGCTACTGACTCTTCCTACACCACAACTTCTATGTCATTACTAGTTTAAAAGGATCAAAATAGCCAGGCATGATGGTGGATGCCTATAACCCCAGCACTTGAGAGGCTAAGGGAGGAGTATTTCTCGGAGTTCGAGACCAGCATGGGCTATAGGGTAAGCTCAAGGCCATCCTGAACTACACAGTGAGACCTGTCCCAGGAGAAAAAAAAAAGGCAGCAAAATATATACTAGCTTAGGAGAGGTGATAAGGAAAAAGTAATGAGCCAAAGGAGTAATAATAAAGACAGGCTCTATAACATCATAAAGAATGTAAAAATGGCTGTGCACAGTAACATACACCTGTAATCCCAGCATTTGGTAGGCTGAGGCAGGAGGATCACCATAAATTTGAGGTCAGTCTTGGCTACACAGTGAGTTTAAGTTCAGGCTGAACTGCATAGAGAGACCCTATCTCAAAAAACAAAACAAAACAAAAAATCTAAACCTCGTTAATCTAGAATATGTTAACTGGGGTGATAATCCCTTCAAAGGAGTTGGGGTAAAAAATGAGCTGTGGGACCCACCAAATAGCTCTGCAGATTAAAGTGTAGGGGCTGGTTTGATCCCCAGGCCTGCCATGCCAGCCCCGCCCCCAAGGAGGCATGCTGAGACAGCAATTGAGACTGGGCGTGGTGGCACGCACCTGTAACCCCAGCTCTCGGGAGGCTGTAAACAGGCGGGTCACTATAAGTCCGATCTAGTAGTGAGACCCTGAACACCCTGTAGACCCACCCCCCGCCTTCCCCACGACCCACCCCCCGCCAAAAAAAAAAAATGAACTGTGGCCTTCCAAAAGACAACCCTACCCTGAAGTCATTCTCTAAGGTAAGGATTCATTAGGGGTTGGGGGTGAGGTACCATTAGGAAAAAAGTCTTAAAGTGCTCCCCTGAATAATGACTGGAGTCTAAAGGACTTGGAATAGGATCAAGAAACACTGATATAGAAAAATCATTTGAATAGAATACTTCATAATCCTATTGCTACCAGCAGTTGCTGTAATATTTAATCTGTACTCATCCATATAGGAAGATCTTAATTAGATTTTTTACTGTGCCAGACATGCTAATCACTCCCAACATTGAAGAAAAATTAAGTTAACGGGAGGCTGCAATTCCAAACCAACCTAAGGAAACATGACCTTGTGAGTTCATTCAGTACCTTGCATCCCTATGAGAAAGTCTCTGTGCACAAAGATGAGCTGATGAATGAGACATCCAAATCATCAGCCTTCCACTGGGAAGGCTGCTGGGGCATGACTCGGCATTGCACAACCCGTTATGAAACCCAAATAAACAGATGGCATGCCAGAAAAAAAATTACATGAAAATTGTTATACAAGCAAAGATCAAATAGAAAATGAAGCAAGATTATATAGGCCTTAGGAAACACAATATCATACTGTGCACTTAAAGATGTAACAACAAAGTAGGGTGCAGCTATTTGCTGAGGGAGTTGAATGGAGGCAGTAACCAGGGACCTGCTGAGCTAGAACACATCAGTTCCCACTAACTGCAACTTTAAGCCTCTCTGCTACCTGCAAACTGGAGTCTAAAGGACTTGGAATGGCAGGCGCAGACTTTCTTACCTGGCTACTTTGCGCTTGTCGTGTGGGTGCAGCTTGGCTGCCATTTCTGGGTCTACCTGGCGTAGGCGGCTGTGCAGCACATGGCTGTCCTCCTTTTCCAGCTCTACTTTCTGGTCAACCACTTGCTCAGTATCCACCTTAGGGGACTAGTAAATGAAGAATTAGAGTAACTTTAATTCAACAATTCCTTACATATTAGAACAGTCTATTGCCAGACACTTCATACAAAGCTTCAGGAATACAGAACTGAGATGAATCAGAAGATCTTACCATACAGTGACAAACAGACCATGAATCAAAACAATCCCAATGTGTTGTGGTAAGTGCCCTTAGGCCACAGCAAACAAAGAGGCAGGAAGGCTTAGTGCAAAGAAAGTATTCTACTACCCTGTTTCTTTGTCCTAAATACAAACTGGTATGGTATGGTATCTATTTTACAGTATGCAGGAATCTAGTCTTAGCAACATCACCACTTGGCAAAGTCAGGTCCTAGGAGGTAGCATCTCCATAATAAAGTTCATGATGGACATCTCTCTTACACTTATGCTGTCAGTCAGGAAATGCTGAATCAGCCTAAAACACTGTTAGCTAACAGGCAGATGCTAATTAATCCACACAGGAGCATTTTTCCCACACACAGCCCCTGCCCTTAGGCCAGCCCAGAGGAGAATACTCCACATATGGAGGTGGCATTTGCTTCAGAATATTAAATAGGAAAATTACAGTTGCTGAGTCTAAGCAATAGGCTAGAGTCAACCTTCCTCCCACTAAAATTAGCTGGCATGAAAGAGGAACCCATTTCTTTGGTGAGTTAGAAAGTGAACTTAACATACCTTAGTATTGACAAGAACTTTCCATAGCAGAGATTCAACATAATAATTGGTTCCTCCCACAACAATAGGAATTTTGCCTCGAGCAAATATATCTTCAATGTGAACATTAAGAAAAATAACATGATATTTAATAGCAAGAAGAGAAACCTGACTCACTTGAGAATATTAGCAAGAAATTCTTATCTGCATGTCTGCAGAGCACAGGAGAAAGTGTAGAAACCAATATGAAGAGATACCAGCCTCAAATTTTTCCCAAAAGTTCACTGAACCACTTCCAACTAGTTCTTGGGGAACTTACACAAATCAGAGATAAATGTATGATACTAATTCCTACCAGCTCTAGATCTTTCCAGGTTATGCTGCTAAACGTCAAAGTTCTACTGGTATTTCAAATCAGTTTAACAAGCATAAGGACTGTTTTAGAACCAAGTATAGTACTAGCTGCTCAGGAAGCCATCCAGGTGATACCCAGTGTTGACTTTGCCTTCTAAGACAAAACACAAGTTGATGTCTCTAAGCCATCCTGAGTCTCAGTAAGTCTCTACCATTATGTGGTAAAAGTATACATCTTAGCCACTTGAAAATTCATCCAGGGCTGGCCAGATAGCTCAGCAGATTAAAGCACCTGCTTAGGCAGGCGCAGGGACTGGTATTCAATCTCCAGAGTACTGTGCCAGTGCTGTGCCAGCCCCAACCCTGGGGCGCACTGAGATGTGACAGAGACTAGGTGTGGTGTCATGCACACCTGTAATCCCAGCACTTGGGAGGCTGAAAACAGGAGGACCACTATGAGTCTGATCTGTATAGTGAGACCCTGTACTAATTACATTAAAAAATTTAAAAATTTTAAGAAAAGAAAATTCATCCAGACATACTCCAGTGCCTAAAGATAGCAAGTACTCAAGGATGGGGAGATAGCTCAGTAGAATAAGCTCCTGCCTGGCAAGCACAAGGTCCTGAGTTCAATACCTGGTACTGGGGGAAAAAAAATTAACAGGAAAAAAAATAGCAAGTACTCAATTTACTTGTATTTTAGCCTCTGCAATTTTTATTTATTTTTTCTGTACTTTAGGGAAGGGTCTATAGGGTGTTCAGGGTCTCACTACTAGATCAGACTCATAGTGACTCTTTATAGCCTCCCAAGTGCTGGGATTACAGGTGTGCGCCACCACGCCCAGTCTCAATCACCACCTTAGCATGCCCCGGGGGTGGGGCCAACATGGCAGGCCCAGCGATCAAACCCCTGGCCCCTGTGCCTGACTGTAGACACTTTAAGCCTCTGCAATTTTTAAATCTCTGCTACTATCTCTGAAGTATTTTCTTTTTGTGGTACTGGAGGTTGAATGCAAGGCCTTCATACTGAGCAACATCCTAGTCCTTTTTATTTTAGTTTGAGATAGGATTGCACTAAATCGTTACATTGCCCAAGCTGGGCTTGAACTAGGGATTCTTCTTAACTGAGTGTAGTAGGGCATACCTGTAATCCTAGTGCTTAGGAGACTAAGGAAAGAGGGTCATTGCAAGCTCAGAGGCCAGCCTAGGCTGCAGTGAAAAGGTCAGCCTGAACTAGAATAGAAGCATGGCAACTGGACAGGGAGATAGACAGGGACACAGCAAGACAGAGAAATTTACATACAGTACTTCTTTCCCACACCACCAGTATCTGTGGGCATAGAAACAGATGACCTCTATCAGAAGCCTATTAATCCTTAAGAGGTTGGGCTGGATGGAGCAGAAAGAAAGGTGTTACAAATCAAGGATCATAAAGAAAAAACATGGGGCCTGAGTTCAATCCCCAGTTCTGAAAAAAAAAAAATTGTCTATTTTTTTAAAGAAGAGAAAGTTTTTATTGTTTCTACAAGTGCAGGGAACATAAAATTATGGAGTAAAACAAAATTTTAATTTGGTAACATAATTAACAAAGAAAAGGGGAGCAACAAAAAGGAAAAAATAATGCAATGCCAGAAGGGAAAAGTGAAAAAAAAAAAAAAAACTATGACATACAGTATAGTGTTATGCTTTAGAGCTAGAGTGACCCCCCCCCCAAGTCTCATGCGGTCAAAGGCAGAGCTTTGAGAAAGTGATTCAGTCACAGAGGTGGTATACTCGTTGGCAGACTAACCCACAGATGAGTTCACAACTGAATGTGCTATTAAGAGGGACCTGGTCAGAAGAGATAGGTCACCAAAGGTGTGACCTAGAAGGGTATGTGTTTGCTTCTAGCGCCTTCATTCTGTCTGTGCTTCCTAGCTGCCATGTGAGCAGCTTTCTTTAGCTCTGTCCTTCCACCATACCACCATGGGCTAACCCAATAAAGCCGTGAGCCAAAATAAATCTCTCCTCCTTAAAGTTGCAGGTTTTGGGTATTTTGTTTTGGTGGCAAAATAGTGACTAAGATATTATGAAAAAGGTGTAACTGCTTCCCCTAGCCACAAAAGTACTGTGACTCTGAACAACTCTTCTTTGGGCATCAGTATCTTTTATATACATCTGTCAAATCAAGATGGAGGTCAAATCAATACCAGGAGGTGTAGCTCAGTGGGAGAGCGACTGCTTAGCATGCAGGAGGCCCTAATCAGATCCCCAGCGCCACACCAAAACAGGAAGAAGAGAAGGAGAGAGCAGCACCAGGTAGCTCCCAGCTACACAAGAGACTGAGGCAGGTCAGGTGAGTCAGGAGTTGAGGACAGCCTAGTCAGCATATTGACACTATACTGCAAACAAAACAAAACAGAAATGCTGAGTAGATACAAGTATTTTAGTCTGATATTTTGATTCTAGGTTCTTACTAAAATCCACATTTCCTAATCTATAAGTAATCTGAGGATTTATTCCCACTGTTTATGTTCTTTGAAAAAAATCTTCATTAGCTCTCCATTTTGCATGAGTTCTTTCTGAACAATGAACTCACAGTTACAACTTATATTTGGTGATATGTATTAATTTGCAAAGAGCTTTCATATACATTATCTCATCTGATAAAACAACCTTATAAAGTAAGTAGAGCAGAAATTATTATTTGCATTTTAATCTACCCATTTGATAGGCAAAAAATTACCTCATTATTTTGATTTGCATGCCTCTGATTAACAGCAAGGTTAGTAAACCTTTTTCATATACATCACCATTTATATTTCTTCCATTGTGAAATACTGCTCATGACCTTCAACTATTTTTTGTATTGATTCAAAAGAGTTCTTCATATATTCAGAATATTAATACTTGTATTTCCAATGTTACAGGTATTTTCCCCAAGGTTTTTAGTCTGTTCTTAAGTTGTTCCTAGTGCACTATTTTTCATCTCTTGATTTTTATCATAAAATATTCCATACACAGAAAAGAATATATAAATTATGAAGCCTAATAGTAAAACAAATGCTCATGAATCTAACATAAGGAACAAAGCATTATGAATTTATTTGAAGTTGCCTGTACATCCATTTCTGTCTTGACCCCTCCTTCCCCCTTCAAAGAGAATTGCCATTTTGAACTGGTTTTTCTTAGTCTCTTTTTCATCATCCCGCTTTTTTTTTTTTTTTTTTTGCAATACCAGGAATTGAACTTGGGACCTTGTGTTTGCCAGGCAAGCATTTATGCTGCTGAGCTATCTCCACAGACCCTCTCATAATTCCCTTTTCTACATTATTACTAGTGTTTATTCTTTATAGGAATAAACACTAGTTTATCTAGTGTTTATTTATAGGAATAAACACTAGTTTATCTTTGCCTACTTTTTTAACCTTTCCTTTTTTTTTTTTTAATGTTTCCTTTACTTCTTTTTTTCTATGGTCAGCTCAGCCCACCCTCAGGGGGCAGGGCTGGCATGGCATGTGGTGCTGGGGATCAAACCGAGGTCCCTGCATGCTTGCCTAAGCAGGTGCTTTAGACCACTGAGCTATCTCACTAGCCAACCTTTCTGTAATATACAATGGCATCAACATATATCCTTCTATAATATCCCACATAGTTTCTTCTTTCCTATCTCTGCCATACACAGGACAGAGCCCCGGGTCATCCCACTGAGCTATGTTTCCAGCCCCTTTTTACTTTGAGGCAGGCTTTTACTAAGTTGGTCAGTTGCCTGGGCTGTGATTTAACTTGCATCCTCCTGCCCCAACCTCCCAAAATGCTGGGGTTATAGGCATGCACCACCACAACCAGCTTACAATGTTTCTGATTTATTTATTTTTTGGCAGAACCAGGGATTGAACTCAGGCCCTTGCACTTGCCAGGGAAGTGCTTATTCTACTGAGCCATCTCCCCGGCCCCAATGTTGTGTTCTTTACTATAATTTCAAATTTAAACATTCACCATATATGTTGGTCACTCATATAGTCCTAGTAGAATAAGCACTTGCCTGGCAAGTGCAAGGGCCTGAGTTCAATCCCTGGCTCTGCCAAAAAAAGAAAGAAAGAAAGAAAGAAAGAAAGAAAGAAAGAAAGAAAGAAAGAAAGAAGAAAGAACACAACATTCTTGCCACTTTCTAAAGCATTTCTGAAGTCCTCTTTCATGTCTTTTATGAGATGATCAAAACCATAGTGAATGCTGCTGCTGAATACCATCCAACAGAAAGGCAGGCTCATAAGAACATATGGAATCTGGGCATGGTGATGCATGTCTCTAATCCCAGCACCTGGGAGGCTAAGGTAGGAAGATCACCATGAGTTTGAGGCTAGTCTGGACTATATAATGAGACCCTGTCTTGAAAAAAACTTTAAAAAAAAAAAAAAGAAGAGAAAAAAAAAAACACACACACACTCATGCAGAGAGAAAGAGAGACAGACATATAGACAGATGAGAGACAGAGACAGAGAAGAGACAGACACCACAATGCAAATGAAGTTATGGTAGCTTCAAGCTCTAGCACTCTGGTCTCATGGTTGCAGCTCTCCTGTGACCCTGAGGATGGAAACTGCTTGTTGGGAAGCTGGAAAAAAAGCGACTGAGGAGTTGGACTCCTGCTGACTCCATGGAACCCAAACACTGGCTCTGGGCAACCTGCAGCAAGGTTTTCAAATGAGAACACACCCTTATGGGTTTAAGCTACTATAGCTGAGCCTCTGTTACTAGAAGCAAAAATTTATACAAATATAGCAGCAAGGGGCTGGTACTATAGCACACACTTGTAATCCCAGCTATGTGGGAGGCTGAGGCAGGAGGATCATAACTTACTCAGATCCCAATTTGGGCAACTTAATGAGGTCCTATCTCAAAAATAAGGATTGGGGATACAGCTCAGTGATTCTTGTGTTCAATACCCAGAACCAAAAACAAAAACAAAAATAAAAGCCTGTTCACCCCCCAAAAATTAAATAACATTATGGTGTGTCTTTATCTATCTTATCCACTGAATCTGGCACCATGCAATTTCTGGCTCTTTCCAAAAGTCAAAATGACCATTAAAGGTAAATTAACCCATTTTGTATCTGTGTATTCAAAGTGGTTAGGATAGATATATAGTTACATTCTGTTAATGAATAGAATGATTTGTTCTAGTGGTGTTTGTAAATAGGATATCAAGTCCACATCTTGTACAGCAATTAACCATTAAGAAGAATGGTCTCATTGCTATTTGTTTATCAATAAAATTATGGGAAAAAAAGGCAAATTAAATGTTCTGAATTGATTTTAGACAGCTAAAAACATTTGTGAAGACTTTCAGAAACTGGCAAGAAAGATAGAATAAATGTGTCTGAAACAATGTGTCCTCCACTACAATCACTTTTTAATTTTTAATTTACTATCTTCTTCAAATCATATCTCATATAAACTCTATGCTTTTTTTTTTTTTTCCTTCAGTTTTTGTGGTTTTACTGAAGCACAAATAAACATGCACACAGGCCATCTATTTGCTTTCTTCACTGCGCAGCCTGGCATTGGGATCGGTGACCCGGATGGCTAGCTGGGCTGCTCTCTCCACAATGGCGTTGAGGTTTTTAGAGGAGATGCTGTAAGCAATCTCCGCACAGTAAGACTTGTTGCACATCAGCAGCACCTCTAGCTCCTTAGCACTATGCACGAGAAGCTTCCAGAAGCCACTGGGCAGCAATGCTTTGTCTTTTTGCTACTTCCATAACCTATGTTGGTCATCAACATCTGGCCCTTGAACCTCCTCTGCACCCTGTTGTCGATGCCTCTGGGTTTCCATCAGTTGCACTTAATTTTGACATATCTGTCTGACTGGTACCGGCTGAACTTCTTGGTCCTCTTTTTGACGATCTTGGGCTTCATAAGGGGTCTGAGGGCTGCCACAGTGCCAAGCTGAAGATGACTGCTACACTATTTATAACTGTTACCACTTTTCAATGTTTTAAGACCTGGCAGCTCAGATGCTAAAGGACAGTTGGATTTTAAAATATAAAAGGGTAGTCCCCATTTATTATTCTTTTTTCAAAATCTTCTTAGTCTTATTCAGAACTATCTTCTAGCCCTCTCTTACCCAAAAATCTCTTTGCAACTTTAAATAGAACTCATTATAGGGCCGGGGAGATAGCTCAGTAGAATAAGTACTTGCCTGGCAAATGCAGCATCCTGAGTT